TGTCCACAGAATGGGACGCATACCATCGTCGGCCAACAATGCGCCGCATCTCTCGTAGGACCTGTGTCAACAGGCGTTCGTCCCGAGTGGAATTTCGTCCGTCGCACGCGCCACTCTGGATGGAGGCGATCTCGCCCGCACATCGTACATACGTGTATATATATATATATATATATCGATCCAGAATTCGAGAAAGCCCGCTGGACGGTCGCGCCGAGGATTTTAGTTAAACAAATATAAGCGAAGAGAGACCCGATCTTCTTCCTCTCTCGAGTTTAAAGGTCCAGGGATATACGCGAATACGCCGTTCGAATTCGATTTCGCGAGACTTATCTCTCGTCCCCCTTCCCCTCTTTTTCTCCCCCTCGCAAGATAAACACACGAAAAAAAATCCTCCTCAAATGAATCGCTGTCTCCGCGATCCTGCCACTCGAATTTTTAGTTCCAATTCGATGGTGCAATTATAAAATGGCAAAGCCTACGTGGCTGTGAATAGAAAGTGTAATATGGAGATTTATTAGAAAATAATTTAGCGATATATAATAAATATTTAGTGATGTATAATAAATGTTTACTTATTTCTCGTATTATATATTTACAAGCTTAATTTACAGCTTTAAAGTAAATGTTGTAAAAGATAATGTATTTTTCGTGTGTAATTTGTAATATAAAATTATCCATGATCACTTCCTGATAAATACACTTTGATGACTTTCGATATATGGATAATAAAAAAATCAACAAGTCCATAAATTAATCATGCAGACATGATTAAAAAAATTCTAGAAGATTTATTAATAATTTATAAATAAATAATCAAATATATATATATATTAAATCCTTATTACATAATTTATTAACATATGAATAATGAATAAATCTAAATTTTTGTAAGCATGTCTGCGCGATTTATTTATAGAATTTAATTAATCTTTATATATTATCCGTATGTCAAAAGTCATCAATATATTTATCATGAATCAATCACGGATAAAATTTTACAATATCAATCACATGAATAATATTTTGTTTTTTACAACATTTATTAAACTGTAAAACTATAAATTATGCTTGTAAACAAAACACGACATTTTAAAATATTTGTTATACATTTTAAAATATTAATTATATCAAAATTATTATATATTATAGAATATTTATTATATAAAAAATTGTAAATTTAATGATTATTCACTTATTTTGTACATCAAAATACTTGAATAATAATAATTACAATATTTCTTCCTAAAATATAATATTAAATATTAAATATTAAATTAAAATATATAAAATAAAAGTAGAATAAAAATATCAATTATAAAAATTGTATTGCATTTTATCACAATATTTTTCCTCCTTATTTAATCTCCTTGATAAATCCTGCGTATTATTGTTACTAGTTTAATGTCTTTCAATGATACATTGTACCGATCAAACGTACTGTTACGCGTTCGTGATTTGCATTTCAACAACATTCTATTAAAAGCTTCTGATCTCATGTCACGCATCATTAAAGTCTCTCTTTTACGTTTTTTATAAACCGCATTACACGCACATATTTTATCTAACATCCGCGCTTAACAACAGTATGATTCCTTTATTATTGAGCTTGTTTATCACGATTAGCAATTGACAATTATAGAAATGGGTTCTCTATTAAAGATAATATTATGAAGAGAAATATACAATATAATTATATGAGGATTTTAGAAAACCGATCTAGAAGACACATGCTATTTGAATTCTACTTGATTCCGAGTTTTAAAATCTCTCTTGATTCTAATTTAACTAATTTACTTTCTACGCGTAAATAGAGAAAAAAATTTTGCAGTCTGTTGTGCATAATATAAAATCACGCGAGTAAAATTCTGTCGCAAATTGTAGGTTACGTAAACTGCTAGACGACTTTTCAAGGACTTTGCAAGGCACAAGACAAGTGGAATTAAACTCAACTAATATCGGAGTTATGTAATAATTATCAAATTAATACATGGAATGAAATTAATTGTGCGCAATTAAACGAGATAGCCTCGGATTGGACACGTTTCACGCTGTGGGCGGTACGCACGAATTCCGGTCTATGATTCGGAGCGAGAAATCTTCGGCTTTTGTCACCTAATTGGAAGCTGAAGGACCGAGGCGCGGCGATTTCACCCTCACTTGCCATGCCACATAATTACGTTTCGAAACGATGCGGCTGTTCGACTTCTCGAGGGTAGAGCCGCGACGCCGGTGGCCAGGTAGACGTTGGAGAAACGTCAATTTATTTAACGAGTTGCCTGCACGCGCGTTGTTCGCCCATCTCTCACATCTCGGGATCTCTGCCTTGGTGTATTGGCAGAAGTTACGAATCGAAACATCTCGTATCCATTGTTCTCCGTGATCGCTGACAAGCGGATCCCTAAAAGGGATCTCTCGCGCATCAGAGAGCGAGAACGTGATAATTTACGTCGTCGGTGTGATTTACGAGAAATTTCCAGGCAATCATTAATGCCAAGTAATAATTGCATCCCAATAGAAAAGGCTTCTCGCAGGGGTAATCTCTGGAATCGTATGTAAATTTATAATAATGTGATTTACGAATAAATAGGGAAAGATTGAAGAGACAAGGATCTTTAGAGAAGATCGTTAAGAGATTATATTTCAAAAATTCAAATTTGTTGGAAAATTTTAGATAGGATAATCAGGGTATTCCTTCGAAAAATCACATGGAAAATCTGAAATTCTCAGGGATTTTTATATTTGGAAAAATTAGAGAATCTCATGGAGTTTTATTTATATTCGAGAAATTTTTTTGAAAAATTCTCCCTTTGATAATTTTCCTCTGATATTGTAAACAATCAGCAGTTCGTCGATGAGCCAAATTGAATTATGTATATGTTGAAATATATTTAGTATATTAACAAAATATTGAATATATATTCTTTATTGCAATTTTTTAGTGATGAAAAATGAAAACATTAAATAAATGAAAAATATTTATTTAAAATGCTATTCAATTCTTCTCAGTATATTTGCAAAAATCTGGCACTTAACACAAAATGATTCTTTATTTTATTTAGAAAAGTTACACTCTCTAAAAATTCTTTAAAATATTTCTATCGTCTGAAATTATTAACAAAAATACCTGGAAGAGTTTAAGAAATTTTTTTACAAGATTTGACGAGACACCCCCCGATAACCTGGTGCGATAAGCAAGTCACTTTTGATGAATTCAAATGCAGGATGAGAAGTCGACTAAACGCTGAAAGAGACGAGGTGATGGTCGAGTGCTCGAATCGGCTATCGAATATAGGCTATCGTGTACAACTCGCTCCGGATATCCGCGTAATGAGAGGGGAGGGGTATCCCGACGCGAAAAAAAAAAGGAGGAATCCACCGTTTTTTTTCGCGAGCAATAATATAGTATTGCTTTCGTTTATACGCTCTTCGGGGCTCCACGATTTCTCCTGGACGGGCGCGCCAGCCAAAAGCGGAGGTAAACAAATTTGACGGTGTTTGTTCCTGCGCTCAAGTGGTATTTCTTTCTCGCCCTCGGCTCGACTGACGGCTCGGAGAATACGGTTCGTTCTCGTGGGCATAATAATTCGGGACTTCATCCCGGGACCTCCCGTGCACCGTGGTGACGTAGCACTTCGAAGCGCCTAAATCGTTCCCTTTGTCCGCGCGAGGTTCATCTTTGACAGCTCCTCGCCAACTGACAAGGGATAGACGACCGCTCTCGCTCGCAAGGAGCCATTGGATAACTTTCGGTAGCTCGAATAAAATCGCTCAGGCGATATACTCGCGACAAAATGTGACTGTGTTATAATCCAGATACATAATCCTTACGATAAAGTCATCGCGTAATAACTTTGAATTTTTTTTTTTTATGAATTTTTATTTTTATATCTTACGTATATTTCACGCAATATTATTTATTATTCTTTGTTAACGGGAGTGTGATCTCTTAATCATTGCGTATCGTGATCAATTGTAGGATTGAGAAGCTTACCTGTAAAGGAAAAAAATAAATTCGTTATATTTTTTGATAATGAATAAGAAATTTACAAGTTACTTTTCGAATTTATATAATGTGATTTCTTAATCATTGCGTATCATGATCGATTATAGGATTGAGAAGCTTACCTGTAAAGGTAAAAAATAATTTCGTTACATTTTTTGATAATGAATAAGAAATTTACAAGTTACTTTTCGAATTTATATAACTTATGACATGCTTCCCATGCAAATAAGTACACATGAAGGGCTTTTTTTTAAATTAATAAATAATCTTGATACAATTTTAATAGCTTTTATTTAAATCAAATTATATTTCTTATAAACTTTTGCTTTCCAAAAACAAATTTGATTTATAAATTAACGTATTGCATCAGGATTTTAAAATTATACAAAATTATAAATAATAAAAAAATTAAGAAAAATCTCTTTTTCATTAACAGATTTTGAAGATTATAAAAAAGATTGTTGCAATGTTTTTGAAATAAGTTTTTTATGATAAAAATTAAATTTTGAAATTTCATTATCAAAATTATTATACTTTTAATGTTATCATAGAACCAAGTTTGTTAAACATCTGGTTTACATTCAGATATATTAATTTATGTATTTAAATTAAATGTAAATCAAATATTTAACAAACTTGGTTCTTTAATAACATTAAAAAAGAGTAACAAAACTTGTAATAACGATTCGTTACAAGTTCTGTTACTCTTTTTTAATGTTATTCGTTATTTTTTAAGTAGTTTTATTTATTCGATTTAATTTTTGCTACCTAAACAGTAGAAAAGCTATGAAAATATTAAATATATAAATATATTATTAACACCAAATTTAAGTAAATTTATTTACATAAAGAAAGGAGGAGAAAGAAACAGCTAAAGCTGATGGAATCATAAAGAATTTGATCTTAAGAATTTTTCGTTACAAAAACGCGATTTATGAGAAGAAGAGGAACACTCGCAAAGTACGATTCCCGATTTCTTGGATATGTTTTGCAGTCTCGCGACTGATGGGAGCCGCGGCGGCGGGCGCCGGGACCAACATGGCCGGCTGCTCGGTGGGCCAGTCGATGGGCGACGTGACCAAGTCGTCGGGGATGGGGGTGGGCGTCGGCGTCGGGGTCGGCGTCGGCATGGGCGTCGGCGCGATGCAGTTCCCCCTCGCTCAGAGACGGAAGAGACGCGTGCTCTTCACCCAGGCCCAGGTCTACGAGCTCGAAAGGCGATTCAAGCAGCAAAAGTACCTCAGCGCGCCCGAACGGGAGCATCTGGCGTCTTTAATTCATCTAACGCCTACGCAGGTACGTCATTAATTTAATTTTATATATATATATATATATAATTATTATATTAATATTTTAATGTTATATATTTATTATATATTATTTTATTATATGTTATATTAATATTTTAATGTTATATATTTATTTATTAATATTTATATTTATATTATAATTATGTCTAATAATTTTTACATAAATAGGAATTTAAAAATAAAAAAACTTTTCGCAAACTTAAAGGACATAAATATAGATAACAAAGCCGTATATTTTACGATCGATTTTAATCAGGCTTATTCTAATAAATTTTAAAGCTCGATCAGGTGAAAAATTGAGATAAATGAAGTGACCCATTTTCGTATTTTTATTAAAGAAATATATTCCAAGTATGCAAAGGAATAATTTCATGGCCGATTCATATATTCTATATTTAGCACGTAAATCAGTCGGAGAGCGCAACAATTCGTCGAGGAGATATGCGACGTATAATTATCTTATTACTTGACGAAGCTCTGCATTATGCAATTATCGTTTAGCGGACAAATAGGATGGCCGATTTTAACCAATGCGTTCATTTTCATCGGAGGCAGATAGGTCCGGCCGGTTGAATGCGGCACCGCATCCAATCTGGCAACAATAAATAATTGTTACGTGGCTCATTGGCCGCATCCTGCGTTCGTTCGTGGGTCTCCCCTTCGTTCGGTCTATCGTTCCGTCTACTGTTCGTCTCTCCGTCTGCGGTTCAATTCACTTATCAGCCCTTTGAAAACAATAAGCGCGAATGTCGAATCGTCCGTTTGTCATCGCGTGTAATGTGTGTGGCGCTCCATGGACAATAATACTACCGATACAAATCAACTTACATCAAAGGCATCTTAACTGTCTGTTGAGTTGAACACGGGACGCGGCTATTTAATAGAAGCGGTTTTAAAAAGATGTCATATTTAAAAATATTTATGTCAAGATTTATTTCAGAAATTAAGCAGCTTTCAATAGGATAATATTTGACAGATCTTGTAATTCAAATATAAAAGATTGAGTAAAGGATTAAAATAAATTCGAATGAATCCGATAAATTGCTCTGTATCGAGAAAAAGATAGTTTTATCTCATAAATCGAATTTTCACCTTTTATGTATATTATTTATATATATATATATATATATATATATATATATATATATAATTTTATGTATATGTATATTATTTTATTTAAATTTTATAATTATAATAATATATTTTATTAATTATTATTTTATTTTTAATATATTTTATTTAGATTTTATATATCTTAGATATATCTTAGAGAGATATCTAAAAAGTTACGAATACGTATATAATTTACATACTTAAAATTTAGATTTAATATATTTATAATTCACATATCTCCGAGAAATAAAGTTTAAGTTTAATTGATCAATCTTTAAGGGGATAAATATCGCAAAAATCTCGTTGTTACTAATGTTGATTAGAGATAAATATTTACCATTTGACGGGAAACACGAAATTCGAATCGAGCAGAGTCTGAGAAGAAAACTGCATACTCGAGAGCGTACTTTAAAACGGAAACGGGCTTCCTTAAACCGGAAGTCGAGCGTCCGCGCGAGGCCCTTGGCACTAGCGACGATGACGAGTCGATTCCGAGTCAAGCACGGAAGTCGGCAAAAAGGTCTGATTGCAATCAGCCGGGATTTTCAGGCATGCTCGACACGAATGCAGAAAAACGGTACGTGAGTTTCGGTAACGAGTTTTGGCGGTCGCGAAAAATACCGAAGTCGGAGATGACAGGAAGGGGAGGAATCGCAGAGAACGATTCAGGTTTTTATATCTCCCTCTGTATGATGTATAATCGCACTTTTTATGCATATGAAAGATCTATAGAATTTATTATTTATAATAAAATTATAAATAATTACATTATTTATATGTAAAACAATATTATAATTATTTATAATTGTTGAGTGTATGAAGAACACAATTAAAGTTTCAATTCTCCCTAATTTTACAAGGTTCATTAAATCATTCATTAATCGATTTTTTTCTAGAGCTACATCTCTACTTTGATTTGCATGTAATATATTTTCTCGTATTATCGATATATTTCGAATAAATCTAATAAAGACGCGTTTACGAGAGATCGCGAACAGATTGAAAAATAAAAACAAATACATCTAATTTTAAATAGGAGGAAAAATGGAAAGAAAATCTTTTACATTGTACGATAAAAATGATATATATTTTTCACCTGGTTATTTATAACCGATAATTTTTTCCGCGACATCTTATTCTCCTATATAATTACAGCTTAACGCGGTATTGATCGCTCGCGAAATTGCAGACGAGAATGATTGCCCGCCATTTCGAAAAGGAAATATCTCTCTCTCTCTCTCTCTCTCTCTCTCTCTCTCTCTCTCTCTCTCTCTCTCTCTCTCTTTTTGCGAATGCAACTTTGCAATAAATGGCGACGATATATATCGGAGCGCGTGACGATGCGTTGCATTTATCTCGTCTCTCTCTCTCTCTTTCCCCCTCTCTCCCCCCCTCTCTCTCTTTCTCGCCTCGTCCCTTCCCTCGACACGGGGCACACGCAGATGGGTATGTGTCCCTCCATTTTGCGCTCGCATTGTTACTCCAAGTACCTCGGGGCCCCCCCGCACCTTCCCTCCTTCCCTGTCCTTCGCGCGGCGCGGTGTTACAATGCCTAGCCACTCCTGGCATTGTTACCGGTATTGTTATTATTATCGCTACTGTTGCGGCCGAGTGGCGAATGGAAAAGCAGAGGGTCGGTGAAGCCAGCTGCTACGTTGAGTGCCGCATTAGAGGCAAATTACACTCACCCTCTCACCCCCCTCACCCCCTCCCCCCCCGATCCTCCTAGAATCCGCCTATCGTAGCCTTCATCCCTACCTTTTTTCCGAAAAAGTTCCGTCGAAAAAAGATAGCAACAGTCGCATCTGTTTTGGAAATAAGCGCCATTTTTCGCAGATATAGTTTCATCTTCGATTATTTTTATTATTCGTTTTATCGCGTTAAATCGAAAAAAAAAAATCCCCGTTCCTGAGATATTTCTACAAAATCGCGCTTATGTTGATCGCGGCACGATCCGGAAACGTTCGAGCTCGCTACCGAAGGAGGATACGTCGCATCAATCGTGCTGGAGTAAAGTCGGACGAGAGAGGAGGGAGGGAGGAGATCTTAGGACTTAGCTACGCGAATAATAATCATGATAATGGGTTTGCGTACCACATCGAGCTCCCCGGGGGTCTCATCCCCGTGACGCTGCGGTCGACAACCCCATGGCGCGCGCATCGGAAGAGGGATCTGCTCCCGTGGAGCAGAGGGCGAGCTCAATGCCGTGTAAACACGTCCGCTGCCGCCCTTGTCGAGATCTATCGACAAGAGAGACAAAACGCGATCGACAGCGCGATCTCCGGTCCAGGGAACGTCCGTTCCTATTCCCTCTCCCCTCCCCTCTTCAGAATCCGTCAATTATACATTCTCGGTGTATCAATGTGTGTCCAAGATACACTTCATCTTGTTTAAAACTTCGCGTGCGTCAACTTTCCCTCAACGAAAGTTTCATTATCGAGATACTGCGTCTCTTATCGTAACCTGACCTAACCTAACAAGTTTCGTAAATATGTGGGTATTATGTGTATATATTTTATTTTTATTTTGAATTTCGTTAAAATATTAAATCTACATCGAGAGCGCAAGAATATGGAAGAATAAAGTGCAAAATTACTTTTTTTATTGTAGACTTGAGAACAGAAATTTAGGTTAATTCTCCTTAAAAAGTGGAGTATACTACTTGTCAAGCTCGATATTTTAATTATCAATCTACGCAATATCCCGGCAAACACCAAGTAACAGGTTATATAACTGTAGTTATAATTTCCTATTCAACAATATAACTGTTACATGTTATATAATTGTTACATGTTATATAACTGTTATGTGTTAACCCATTCAGATTCTATGTACACAATTATGCACAAAAACTTTAAAATCATGTGAAATAGTTATTTTTTAGAATTAGTTTCCCTGCGATCTCTCGGTGGAAAAAGAAATATATATATGTATCTCGAAAAAAAATATATATCTTGTTGTTTTAAACCTTTAGCATCAATAAAAATTAATTCAATAATTTTTTACATTACAGAAAAAATTCAGGTCTGAATGGGTTAAGTAACAATTACATTGTTGAGTGGGAAATTACAACTATCAATTATATAATTATTACTTGGTGTTTGCTGGGATCATTGTTTGGAATCAACTTTAATAGACACACAGTTTGTTTCTTGTTGTAAAATCGCAGCATATGTATACGCTGTTGTTTTTACACTCTTTGAAAGTGAATCAGTGAAAATATCACTAATTTAAACAGTAAAATAAGATTTCACTGAGAATCAGTGAGTATTTTACTGATTTTCAGTGGAAACGCTTGTTTTGTTATTTTGTTATTTTGTTTTGTTATTTTATTTTGTTATTTTTTGTTATTTTGTTTTGTTATTTTATCTTATATCTCACTGTGTGTGTGTGTGTTTGTGATTATAGTCAGTTAAAATAAAATTCACTATAAAAGCACTAAATTTCACTGTAAAACCAGTAATCGCTAGTTCGTTCGTTTATCGCTATCTCTCTCTTATTTAGTTTTAGTCATAAGAATTATATAAAGTTTGGAAAGAGCGACAGATAAAATTCGAAGTATTACTTTGATTTAATTTCTGATATAATCTCAATAGAGAGACTTCAGGTATTAAATCGATCTTATATAAGTCGGACAAATAAATGTCTAACGACTTAATGAAAATTATGAAGAGATGAATTATAGTTTAATATTACTGACGATAGAAAGAAATATTACTGATATTGAGAAATATTACTGATTGAAACAGTCAAAATTATTAACTGATTCTTTCAATAAAATATCACTGATTTACAGTATTTATAACTGCTGTAATCAGTTACTATTTACTATTTTTCAGTGATAATTTTTGCACTGATTCACTTTTAGAAAGC